TACTAACCATAAATAAAAGAAGAGTCTGCTACTAACAATATTCTTACTAAATCCCTCAATTCAAATTGAAGACAATTCGGAAAAGTAAATTTAGAACAAAAGAAATGCTTTTTTAAAAAAGTACACTAGTTTTATAAAATAAACCTTCGATATTCAGAATCATAAGCATGTTGGATTCAGACATGCTAAAAACTACTACTACTACATTACTTATAAATAAGATTCTCATTGGTACAAAAGTAAACCCTCATATTTACGAAATGCAACCCTTTTAATAGTTTTTGTATAAAACTACTTGGACATTTACAGATTATATTGAGCTATAATTTAATGACAATTTCCAGTGTTAACAAAAACATGAGTTATTAAATGGAAGGTTATAAAAAGTTTAAATTACCGATCAAATAGAGCCATTTTAATACAAATGTAAATTTTGCAAGTGAATAATATACTGCAATCATTTCTCATGCAAAGAATGATGAAATTGTTTGCAATTAGTTATTTACTTTTGGGAATTTGCGAATGTTCGGATATGTTCATTCAATAATACACCATAATTGAGATTTATATCGATAACCTAGGTATATATTTAGGTATGATGTTTATAGATCATATATATATATATATAAATATATATACATCAGCAAATACCATATTTATTCAGTACCATATTGGATTCCAACACAATAGAACAAAATAATTGAACAAATTGATTATTTAGTCAAATTAAGTAAATCAGTAAAATTAGTCTAATTGTAAGACCTGAAATTTTCATAAAAAATCAAGCTTAATAATTTATGTATTTTAAATGTATATTAAAAAAATTAAAATCTTTTAATCAATAAAAATAAACTATTTTAGCATTTGCACAACAAAATATTAATATAAGATATAAGGAGTGTGGTATAAAATAAGGAGTGGAATCTAAATCTGATTTTTTATTATGAACAAATAATTTAAAAAGTTTTAGTAAAATAATTATATTGTTTGTTGTCTTGAAAAGACTTTATAAAGTAAATGATTTCGAATTTTACGCTTTGTACCCTGCACAATTTTAAATCTGTATTATTAAGTTATAAGTTTCTACTGAATTTTTATAAAATTCAGCGAAAGAAATCCTAATTTAAATTACACTTTGATTTGAAATAAACCTTTTAAAGATTAATTAATATAATAAGCCAATTAAAACCTAGTTTATATTTTTTGTGGAATTTTGAGTAAAGGATTTCCTATTTTAAATTTCAAATTAATTTACTAAGATCAAATTTCAATTAGTTGATTGTCTAATATTTGTTTGTAAAATAAGTTTTGGCTATTACCTTCGGTCATAACGTCATATAGTACTAATTAATATTCATAATGTTGCGATAGTAAAATCACAATATACAGCTTATAACTGATTATCGAGAGAAATATATTCATAATTTACTAATACAATATTTTTCTATATTTTCCTAGTAAATCAAAACAACTTATTTGTAAATACTTATGCTAGACAGTTTTGATATATGTTTACCAAGAAAAAACATTCATTCATGTAAAAGTCAATTTATTATTTTGCATATAAATTTATTTCAATAATAAAATGATTTATTTAAATTTAAATGAAATTTGGCAAATACATAAAAATAAATGCAACAGTGGGATTTAATCAAAATTGCTATAATAGAAAAAAATATTATAATATTCTATATAAATAATATATTCAAATACTTTAGTGAAATAAATATTTTTTTATTATATACATTTGTATTGGATAAGAACTTATTACAAGCATTCGAAATGTGTTTCTAATTGGAATATTTAAAACAATATCGTGCATTGCATTTTTACGACTTTTGATAAATTATTTTATATTTATTAAATCAATATAAGTTAGTTGATCTTGTGAATTGGTGATTAATATCAGTTAATTTATAACAGTTAATAGTTGTCTTCATAATGACTTTTACATAATGGGATTTTAATAGATTATGATTAATAGACATGTGATTTGTTTGTTATGTTTTTACTGAAAATTTCATAATGTTTAATATTCTATATAAATAAAATGAAATTCTGGTTTGTGAATGCAATAATGGGATGTATCACTTTTGTGAATGGAGAATTTTCGATACAGAATTCGACATCGAGTGAATGCACAGCAATTAATGAAATATTTAATGAATTAACTGTAACTTATTTTAAGGTGAGTACAAAAATTAATTAAAGATGTAAATATTCTCAAAACATCTCCACAAGATATATGTATATATATATTTTTCATATATAATATTTTCTTATTTTTTTAATATTTTAAAAGGCTTAATTACTTAAATTACCATAATACAATAGTGAACTATTTGCTCGATTAATTTCTCCAAGGTTCGTGTACACAAAATCGATTTATTTCATAAAGTTCATAAAGTATGTTGACGTTGAGTATTCTTTTTTTTCGTAAAGCTTACATTTTTCATATTGTTTCTGAGTCATCTTAATTATGAAGCAAAATTTAAAATCTATAAATGCAATTTGGTACTAGAACATATGCAATTAATCGTGAAAACTATAAATAAAATTAATCGTAAAGTTTATAAAATCTTTTTTTATTTAAAAAATAAATCGATATAATGCCATTATTCTAAATGTTGAAAAAATGTCAAGCTAATTGCAGTAATAAAACAATTTTAGGATAGAGCTTCGTTTGTGATATTGGATTATGCAGAAAATGAATATTTATCAAATTGCATCAACTGTTTACTGACGAACATTGAAGTTTCAGCTATATATTTTCTCAGAAAAGAGTAAGTAATTTCATAATAAACAAAAATAATAGTATGACAAGAAAATAATTTTGGAATAATATATTAAATGTATCAAAAATTGGAAATATTTCAGATATTCTTCTAATTACAATATCTAATTTGTTGGTGAAATTCTTGTTACTAATATTTGTTTTATCAATTACATAAATAGAGAGATTTCATATAAATTAGTTCACAATTTTGGTAAAATATATATAAAATATTTATGTATTAGGAATCGAACTGCACCTGAAGATGACCTCGACGATGACATAATTGGCAGTAGATACGGTTTCATAATATCAGCTGAAAATCTAAACAGTCTAGAACAATCTCTAGGCAATATTCTTTTAACTAATCCCAAGAAACAAGTTATTCTTTTATCAAATAAAAACACATCTACAGTTCTGAGAAATGTTTGGAAGAATCATGGTATGATGAACATATTGTCGGTAATCATGAATCCTAAGAATGAGAAAGACCCATTGGAATTGCCTATAGAATATTATGATCCATTCAAACTGGACCATCTGGGAAACAGGGGTATCATTACACAAATAAATATATCGCATTTTACTTATAGATATAGATCAAGAAGCATATGGCCAAAAATGCAAGATCGACTCCTAAATGTGAATGGATACCCCATTAAAATCTGTGCCTTCGACATATTAGGATTAGTTCAATCAATCAAAGATGAAAATGGCACCATTATAAATTACAACGGTATGGATGCGGAAGCGATGTGGATTCTTTTGGAAGCATCAAATTTTTCTCGAGTTTATGTATCTCCTCCAGAGGGCGAGATGTTTGGTGGCAGGTTGCCAAACGGATCATCGAGCGGCCAGTTGTGGGTAATGGAAAATCAATTAGCTGACATTGCTGTTAATACCAGAATGATCCAAGATTATGGGTCAAATATGGCTAACTTTTTGCAAAGCACTGGAGACATAAGATTTAATTTTTTGACACCGGAAAGAGGTTACGCGAAACGTATAGCATTTCTTAATATTTTGGACAGGAATACTTATTTATTTATTAGTATAGCGTATTTAAGTGTCTTTGGTGTATGGGTGTATATGAACAAAATTCGGAGCAGCATGGAGAAAAGATCAAAATTTTGGAGAATGGATTTCATAAAAGACGCACTTGTGATTTTTGGAACTTCAGCTTTAGTTTCACAACCTTGGCCCAAAAATACCCAGGAAAGAATTTTATTGTCGTCAATGGTGTTGCTTTCTTTGGTTATTGGTTGTTCTTATCAAGGCACAATGTACAAGATTTTGGCAACACAACAAGCATCTTTAAATTACGAAACCTTGGAAAGTTTAGAACAGAGCGACTTAGAATTGCTTATAACTCTATCATTCAAACCGAATTCGTATATACGTCTTGGCAATAATATATATGACAAGATTTTAAAAAAGGCTACATTTGTAACAGATGTCAAAAGCAGTATCAAGCGAGTCATGGAGAAAAAAGATGCTGCTATGATGATACAAGAATCATCATTAGATATGTATCAATCAATGGTTTTTAATACTCAAACAGGTGAAAATATAATCCACAAAGTTGGTCAACCATTTAAAATTGGATCTGGAGGATTTATGTCTCATAAAATGTGCCCTTACATGTACAGATTAAATGACGTTCTTTTGCACATGATAGCAGGAGGTCTAATTCTACAGAAAAAAAGAGAATTGCATAAATTAATTTATCTGAATTTGTTGAAAAGGCCTAGGATCGATTATGGGCTTACGATGTTTAATATGTCTGAGCTAAGTATAATATTCAAGTCATTGTATTTGGGACTGGCTCTTAGTTCTTGTGTTTTTATTTTAGAAATAATTATACATGGATTTATCAATCATAAAACGAGTAGCAAAATTACGATGACAAAATTCAGGTATAAGTATAGCAATAAAAAGCATAATAAAGTTTTATTAATAAAAAGATAAAATAAAAAACTGTAACTTTTTCATAAAATATATATTTAAATCCTTCACATTTTGTAAAATATATTTAAGTACGTTTATTTCATATTAAAATATCTACCATATATAAAAACAACATGCGTATTAATCAATTGCAACATTTAACAAAATAATTTTTCGTATAAAATACGTTACGCATAATAAAAATTTGATCGATAAAATATATAAAATTTGAAATCCTACTTTTTTTAAAATATATTTTTTGATTATTCTTTTAACTTCTTTACAATGATTTGGGTGTTAATGATGCAGTGTCATCAGCCAAATTAGTCTTACCCGAAATTTTTGAATCAGGTCGTACAGAAATATTCAATCTGCAAAATTGTTTAATAATAATACTGCACAATAATATTTAATAACAGATATAAAAATTATTTTTGAAAAAATTAATTATTAAAAGTATACTTACTTTACTTCTGAATCTTCGGTGCTTTCCTCAAAATCTGGAGTTATCTCAGGTAACGGATTTAATCGTGGAGATAAATTAAATTTTTTAGTTTCCATTGTCTTATTTGCTACTGATTTACTTTTATTTTCAATTGAACAAGTTGTAGATTTGGCTTGACGATTTCTTAAAGATTTGGCCAAATTTCCACATAGTGTTTCAGAAGCATTTAGTTTTTTCAGTCCTCTTGGTGATTCTTGGATATTGTCTATTTCTAACAAATTTTTTATATCACTTGTTGACTGGATAAATTTAGATTTATATTCTTCTGATCCTGTAAAAATAAAACTAAAAATTAGTAATATGGATATGGATTCAGTGTATATAAAAGTACAACTTATTTTACATATACGTTTTTGATATTAGATTATATTATAAATTTATCGAAATATATATTTTTTATATAGAATGTATAATATACAGTTATTGACAATGAAAAAAAAATCAAGTTGAAAATTGAATACAAGTTCATTTCATGCATTAACTTTCCTAAATTAATTATCTAAACAAGAAAAGGAAGTTGTGGTTATTGCAACTTGAATATGGAGCTTTGGTATCACAATTTATTAATTTAGGAACTGAATACAAAAACTCATTATTTATAATTCAAAAAGTTTAACATATTATTTTACTAAAATTAAATAAATATTTAATTAAATTAAAAATTTAAAATTAAATATTTAATTAATTAAATATTTCAACAACTTCATGTAAATTCATCTAAAAATTTATCATAATATTAGATCAAACCTTGTGCTATTTGTACTAGAATTTAAACATGATTAGTTCTTCTAGGCATTTTTAAATAGAACAGCTTTATATACAGTATTCATATGTATATATTTTTTAGTTTTTATTATATATTTTTTTAATTACATATATTTAATGTTGCCGGTAATTCTCTAAACAACAAATGCTAAAATAGCCATTTTGAATTTATAGGATTATATAATGATAATATTAATGCATTTTTTCTAATTTTATATTTTATTTTATAATGATAAATATGGGTAAAAAATTAAATAAAACTTTTATGAATATTATTTTGATTTATGACTTACTTATATACATGAGTATAATGTATGAATTCTTCAAAAATGCTTTTATATGAATACTTATATGTTTATAATATATCGATCTAGATGTTTTATTATATTATAAATATATTTTTTGTATCAAGTTTTAGGGTATATAATTAAATTTGATTTAATTAATATTTTTAATATTTAGAATAAATCATACCGGAATCGCTTTCTTCAAACACGCAGTCATCTTCAAATATATGATTTCTTGGTTTATTACGTTCGATTTTGAAATTATTTACCATTTCCAATAAAGAATTTAAATCAAAATCAATTTGCTCTTCATTTGATTCTGTTGTATCACTTTTATAACTTCGATATGTTTGACATGAGCTTTCAGCTTTTTCTTTTTCAATACTCCAAACGCTTTCGGTTTCAGGATCGGTGGTACTTTTTCCTTTATTTAATATTAGTATAATAGTTAATTATAAATATTAAGGATTTTATTTATATTTATGAGAAAGTATTATATATATTTTAGCTGAATTTTTAATTTACTAAGTTAATTGTTATTAATATTTGAATTTTTAAACGCAATAAAGTATTTCTAAGAATAAGTAAATATGGTGGTTTAAATCAAATATGAGGAACATATCAGTTAGAGCTATTTCATTTGTATTACAATATTGAACAAAATGTTGGTTTATTAAAATATTACTTAATTAAAAAATCTATAAGTGGTCCATAGACAATCTTTGTAGGAAATAAAATAAATTACCGTCGTCCTGATTAATATATTTTAACAGAAAGTATTCTTCCTAATTGCATAAATTTATAGTAAATATTATAGTTAAATAATGTGTAATTTTTTTAAAATTAAATGTAACTGATGACTCTTTGCATGAGCATTCTATAGTATATTCATATTAAATATGTCATATTCAGGAAAGAATTCTATTTAATCCGAAGAAATTCTATTTAATCCGAAAAATGTAAAATTCACGTTGTGGTGAAATGAATCTAAATACTATGTATTTGTTTCAATTGATAAGATACCAAGAACATTTAAACATTCTTAATTATTATTTATTAGATTATTAAAATATATTTCTACTTGGTATATATATATTCAAAGATATTTTAAAAAAAAAAAACAATATTACAATATGTTAACGAGCAAAAAAATAGTTTGCATAGTTTAAAAGCCATGTTGCATTATTTATTACGATGATTACCATAAATATAAAATATACGAATCGTTACATAATAAGCTTTTTATAACCTACTTTAGCCTTAAGCTCTTAAAAACTACGGAACAAGCATATTACTTTTATCTTAATTTTTTTATTTTACTAAACTTTATTTTACCTTATAATTAATTACAACAATAATAATTATATGTATTTCAATTATCATTTTAAACTATTCAGATTCCTCGAATATGTTGCAGTGGATCAAATGCAAACGGCTGTTCAGACATCTCGTCCACTGCAACCAAAAGAAATCAACTTTAAAAATTGTAATTGACAAATATTCAATTTCTTATAAAGAATTTAAAATTTAAATGATGTAAGATATAAGCTGAAATTTGAAAAAGTAGGCTCACAAGATGTAAACTATTACCGAATGAATAGTTATTGGGGTTTTATGAACTTATTTTTGGTTAAGATTAATATGGAGTTCAGGAAAATGGATGTAAATCAAATCAAATGAATGCTCAGATTTGGTTCGAAACTTAAAAATTCGCGATAATAATAAATTATAACCTTGCATCTATAATTTGCGCCTATACAATTTAAATGAAATCAGTTTCCGATATACCGGCACTTGCAATGAGTTTCATATTCCCCATGAACATCTATATGTGGCATGCTTTGCAGTGGACAAACCATTGATAAAATTTGTGTTAGCTGACCCTTTCATTTATATTGTATACAATATACTAATTAGTTCTTTATCTATAACGATATACTTCTATTTACAATCAGTTGTATGGCTAAATGACGTTTATAGAGTCAGAAAATTGCAGTCAAACTGTAGCATTGAATAGAAATTTGATGAGAGGATATTATATGACTAGCTAGTATCTCTTATTGAAGCAAAAATGTGTTTATAGCTGAAAATTATATTTAACTATATGAATTATTTGTACAACTAAAATTTCAATTACACCAACTTTATCGGAATTTATTTATTAAGTAATTTATTTTAATAAATTAAAAAATAATTTAAAATTTTTGAAATAATTTTGAATATTCAATTGCATTTAAGTATTTATTTGTTAAGTATCTTATTAATTAGGTATCTTATCTTTTATTTTTAGCAATTTAACACAACGTGTATCTAAATAAATAACTAATTTGACATCATCAAATTTCAAAATGTTAAGAATTAATACTACTGATCATTAACTTAACCATTCTTAATAAGTATTTGAGACTTCCAGTTTTTTCTAATAATATGCTTATTCGAGGATGATGCAAAAAATGATAAATATTTTATTGCGATATATGGTGTAGTTATGCGCATTTATCAATTAGGTAATTTATTTAATGATACCTTTCAATAATTTCCAGAATTATTTGAAAATTTTGCTAATTTTATTTATATGTTATTATACTTTAATTTGGTATAGAACAATTTAACTCAAACCATTATCCAAATTGACATTAGATCAAATGTTAAGAATTAATACTACTGATTGCCAACTCAATCATTCTGAAATAAGTGTTTGAGCACAGACCGATTTTTTTTGCTAAAAAATATGTTGATGACAGTAGAAATTTAAAAATATGCTGATGGAAGGTTGATTTTAAGAACTTATTGTGATAAATATTTTGTTTTAGAACACTATATTTTAAATACCTTCGTCATCTTCTTCCTGGAAGGGTATTCCATCGAGTTCGTGCAAATGAGGCATCAGTTTACGCACTCGTCGCCTGAAATCCGGTATATCTGCGCAGGGACAATTTGCAAGGAATATGCTTCGGAGCTCCTCGCACAAAGTCAAAAAACCCAAAGTTGATATATCTCGGACACGATTCCTAAAAAATAATAATTAATAATAACAAATAATTTAATAGCAATACTGAACAAAAAAAATGAAAATTGCCACTCTCAACACAAGAAAAATGTGCAATCATTAATATAATATAACTAGCAAACCCGACGAACTCCGTTTCGCCACCAGATGGTTTCGTGAGAAAGATGAAGAAATTTTTTGTTTGTTTTATATTTGAAAAGAAAAATTTGATTTTATTATACAACAGTAATAAATTTATTTCGATTACAAAAATGAAGTCTTTTTTAGTTGAACTTCTCTAAGTAAATGACAGTGAATCCGCAAATTATCCGTTTCATTGAAGTGCTCTTTGGTAAACCACATTTTTTGTTTTTTGGTCTGACGTTAACACAAACAAAGCGGATGGTTTACCAACTCGTGAACAGGCCCATGTGAAAAACAATGATTTTCTAAATAATCTATTTGAAATTTATCCCGCAAACACTAAGCGATTGACCTCGCGACTTGTTATTGCGAACGCAAGGCGAACTGGAAATTGCAATCGTTTGAAGTCAAACGGAAGACCAGTAGGAACCTTGGTATGTCACCAAATCGCCAGCAATTTTTGATTGAATGGTAAAATTCAGTGCGTGTACATCATTATTCTTTGCGGCAAGAATTGCTCGTTGACTTAACCAAGCATAATTCTGATAATTCTCACTAATGTCATTACTCGAATTTTTAATTACGGTGCGAGAAGTTCCAGCAGTTTGCATTAAAGCACGATGCCATGCACAACTAATTTTCTTAGCTATAAACCTTGCGGAGCCCGAGACCTTTCCAACGAATGCAAAATTGTCGAACTCGGTTTGTGCGTTCTGGAGTTATATCGTCAGGAAGGAAAACCCGACTTGTTTTTATAAATATGTAGATTTATAACAAGGCAGCAGGGGGCTGTCAGTTTTGTGCGATAGAAAGAGGAAAGAGGGATCGATACATTCTGGGATCGACAAAGACTTTGAAATCCGGTGTTTAAAAGTGCGGCATATGCTGCGATCTCCCAATTCACGCTGCGATTGTTAGTCGACCCTGAAGCCGTTCTTCCAAAGTCAACACTACTTACTACACCATGCAACATGCAATACACAACACACAAAACTGACAGCCCCTACTGCCAGTGGGACAATATTCAATTAAATAATTGGTCATGCTGAATTTGTACAATTGAAGAATTGGTCATGTTTCTTTTGGACCTTTTTAAATTTTTCTTGAATAATCTGTTCAATTCTCAATAAACTGATGCTTTACGAATCAGAAGTATTTTTATATGCTATACTTATATAAAAATCGGAGATGATGTTACACATGGCTAGTCCAACATCACAAAAGCAATTGTAACAATTACTATAATTACTGTTGCAATTATTTAATGAGTCAATTTCAAAATTGTCTATTGTGACTTTGTAGTATTTTTTAATAAATAAATGTTTAAACAAGTAATTTATTTTATTCTCACCCACTGAGGTCGAGGAGTTGCAGTCCCTCGAGACTTACGACACAAATCACGTCCCGGATTCGATTTCGTGCAGCGTACAATTTCTCCAGAGTTACGGGAAGACCGTTTGTTCCGTCCAACGAATCTAAACCACAATTGCTTATATTCAGCAATCTGAAAATATAATTCAAAATAAATTAGAATTGTCTTATGTACTCGATTAATGAGATTATTTGATTTCTGATTCATTACACCTATTTCTGTAAATTTTAACACTGACTAGACTTTGCCATGAACTAGTAATGTGCTGCGATGTGCTATCGGATAGATTACTGAAACTTCAATGATTTATACTAAATTCATCTATATTAATTATTCATCTATAAACATTTTATTTTTAGTTAATGCAATCAAAATATGAAACAACCTGTGAGTTTTGTGATCATTTATCTAAATTAGATCCCTAACTCTTTATGCTAAGTCTTTTTATTACTTTGTCTTTAAGCTAATTCTGGTGGTCAAATTATTTGCAAATGATGAATTTATAATATTTCTGTTATGCACGGATAAAATAAAATTTCGCAAATTATAAAATGGAATTGGTAAATCAATTGTTTACAACATTATATAATCTATTAAAAATATATTTTACAAATGTATTTTCGTATATATATATTTTAAAAAATATTGTTTTAATTAGATGTTTACGATTTCCATTTTATATTGATTTTTTGCTAGAAGATCTAGCTTATATAGTTACGATTGGTCTTCAAAACTATATAAAGTAATGTTTAAACAATATTCATATTTTATTAACTGTACGAAACAAAATTCTTTGAAATATTTATATTGCCAAAACAATCATTATTATGGAAGAAAGGTTAGTTGATCCAGTTTTAATATTATCAAAACAAACTGAAATATCAAGTTTAAGAACTCTTTTATTCATTTATGATATTATTAAAACAATCTCTCATAATTTTAAATTTTTTTGCTACTGACTATAGTATAACATGATTTTATTAGCAATTTGTTCTAGTTTTTATATAGAGTATTTTTCCTACTTAACTATGTAAACAACATTATTTGAAATATTTTTAATGCCAAATCATTTTATCTATGAGTAAGTGCTATTGATTGATTGATACGAAATTTGATAGATTTCATCCATTTATAATATTACTAAAACAATCCTTAATATGATTATATTATATCATATTAATGACTTTAGTATAACATAATTTTATTAGTAGGCTTAAAGTCGTTTTAGGTTTTGATTAGAGTATTTTTTCAACCGTAACGACTCCTGTATCAGTAATAGATAACATAAATATAAATATAATTTATAATAAATATCATATAATAATATCAATAATTAGTTATAAACCAAAACCCAATTTTTATATCAAACAATCAACAAAAATCTGATTTAGAATCTGCACAAATCTTACAACATTCTAAATCGATGTTATATTTAAGAGCGACATACATGTTCAAGAGCAGATAACTACAAATCTGCATTAATTTCAATATATGTTTGAAATCTAAACAAATCCGCCAATTAGCTAGAAAAAAACCTGTGTGTGTATGTGTGTGTGCGTGTGTGTATGTGTGTTCGGATACAAAACTTCGTCGACGATTTCGAGAACACGGATGAAGCGATTTGAATAGTTTTGGCCGAAGGCAGGTCTTGCCGTTTCCAAGATATGGGGCTAAAAAGTGCCAAAAACGGTAATTCAGTTTTTAAGAGAACGGATTTGAATAATTCAAAAAACATTTTACTTGTATTAACAAGGTATACAACTGATCAAATTTTCATGAAGGCAGGTCTAGCGGTTTCGGAGATCTAGTGAAAAAAAGTAAAAAAAATGCCATCTGGCGGTCAAAAATGATCATTAGACATATGCACATCTATTTATCAGATATTTTATAGAGATTTTAACAATAAGCATAAATTTTGTTTACATTTCTATGGGGTTCCGTACCAATACTTATCCGTTAGAGATAAATAGCAGTACGATTGCTTTGAAAAAAAGTTCAGAATTTCCAAAATATTTCAAAATAATTTTTCTTCAAAAAGTCTTTTTTTTTAAAAAAAAGTAAATTTTTGTCAAAAATTTATAATTTCTCAAAAATCTAATTTTTCAGAGTAATTTTTTTTCAAAAATGTTTCAAAAATCTTTTAAAAAAATAATAATTTTTGGTACGGGAAGTTCCAGCAATTTGACTTAAGGCACGACGCCATGCGCCTCACTAGTTATCTACTTACTTAAGGTTGACAAGGTCACATCCTAGGTCCCTGATGGAAGTCATCCTGGACCCTTCCAGAACCAATTCCTGAAGTGCAGGCACGTAAAGGTGCAGACGCTGCAGAGACACATCGCGCGATGTGACTCGCATTGTTACTCGGAGCAACGACTCCACGTCCTTCTCCTCTCCATTTGCTTCGGATGCACAAATTCTCTGCTGCAGGAGGAAAATATCAGGTGAGGGGCATTGGAAATAAGAAAATTTATTTAGTAATAGATGCGAAAGACTCAAATATAAATTTTAATTTAGATTTGTTTAATGCAATATCGTGTAAGATTTATCGTAATATATCTAGAGATCTCTATTAAACATAATACATATTATCTATTTCTTATGTAAATTTACAAAATTGATATTTTTGTTTGTTTGTATATACCTATTGTTATATAAACAAAACCTGATTCTGGTAAGTTGATGGATTATGTGAATTAATAAATACATAAATCTATTGTCTTTTATTCTCAAGTCAAAAAACTGTTTTAAAACCTAATTTGTTCAATAAATTTTGAAAGTTGCAAGGATATTGATTTTTTGAAGTAAAACTTCTATAGGCGCAACTAGGGTGTAAATCCGTACAAATGCAACGAAAGTGCGTTACGGCAGATAAGAGTCGAAAGCCAATGATTTGTCTCGATGATTTCTCATTTCTATACGAGTCGAAGACAGATATTACAGCTGTAATTAGATTATATCGCCTGCGAAAAAGTGAAAAAAAACAAGCAGTCAATGAATGTATGTTAATTTTAATTACATGAAGTTCTTCAAACACAATTAAACGATGAGTGAAGTTGCAAAAACAATATTTGTTTAGGCGTTGTTTAACCTAATCCACTGTGTGAACGAATATTATAAAATTTATTAATCAGCAATTAATTCATTTTTCTAAAGGTTCATTTCTAAATGCTAAGTACAACATAATCGGAAACAGAACCCATAGTTGCAAAAACAATATTTGTTTAGGTGTTGTTTAACATAATCCATTTTGTGAACAAAAATTAAAGAATTTATTAATGAGCAATTACTTCATGCAAATCATTTATTGCAAAGACTATTTAAAATTGATCAGTTGCATGATTTGTTTTCTTTACCCATCTGAAAATTATTTACTTAGCAATAAAATACAGTGCTTTTCATATGTTCGACCATTTTCATTAATGATAGATACAAATTGTATAGATTACGAGACAGTTATGTGTGTGATATCCAAAAATACATGTTAATAAATTTTAAGCACCTATTTTTTATTAAAAATTTTAAAAGTGCAGCTTAAAAAATGAATTTAAAAAGTAGTAAAATACTATTAATATGTAAAGAACGTAGTAGCCACATCAAAGACTAAAATATATAGAAGCTAAATCTTGAAACAAAGACTTAATATTCAACAAACAACCTAATATTAAATTTTTTACCAAATACGTATGATTATATATTATATGAGTCTGAAATAGCACTAAAATTTGCATTACTTACCAGTAATTCATATAAAGTCGGTTCAAGTGGACTAACTAAACCATATCTTGTATTGACAACATTTAAATTGGCCATTGGATCTCTTAGGCGTGATAGTCTTTGCAACATTTGTTCCTGGTCACCTCGATCTTGATCTGGTGGTTCTCGTAAGATCCTCTCCAATATATCGAGATTATCGTCCTGGTTGGACGCAGAAGGTTGATTGTCCCCATCAGGACCAGGGAGCACCATCTGGGGAAGAGATTGAAAATATTAGAAGAAAAGATTGAAAATATTAGAACAAAATCTCAAAGGTTAATTCACCATTATATAAATATAATTTAGTTCATGTTTTAATAATAGACTTTTAGTGAAGAATGTGCCAAAGTATGTCAAATATTAGAAAAACCTTTTAGTCGATTTTACTGAAATACATATCAATAGCAATAATATTTTTAATGATATTTTAATTATATATTAATATTCTTCCATTTCACTTATGTTCAAAACTTAGTATTCATGATTTTTCGTAAGAATGCGTCATAAAACCCATCAAATCGATTTTAATGAATAATATGCAAAATAAAAGTATTTTTAATGTTAGTACTACATTTATATTTTTTTATAACATATACTCACATTTACTAGTTCGTGCCAATTAATGTTATCAGTATGTATTTCTCCTTCGTTTGCAGCAAAATGACTGACATGTTTGATGGTTGTTCATGGTGACCTAGATAGATGCATTATTGACCAAACAAATGTACTTCTATGTATATAATTATATATTTTCATATGTCAAATGATGTAATTTTTATAAAAATATACCATGTTTATTTTGCATGTTTTCATAATAATGTAATTTTTTTACACATAACTAACAAGAAGAACATCAGGTTTATTTTTCTGAGGTTTAGATGAATCTTTGTATGGTAATAGAGTTGAAAGCGAATACCTTAGAATTAGGGTTTATACAAAAACCGACATCTCAGAAAACTGGTTTTTGAATTTTAATTTTACCAGAAAACCGGTTTTAGCCAGTTTTCAAATTTTATATAGAAAATAAATTTTTGCTCGAATATTCTGTAATAACAAAAATTTATCCGCAAATTTAGTGCGATTTAAAGCAGTATTTGACTAAATTCATTTATTGTTCAATTTTTTGGATAGTAAACAAGATTACTTTAATTTTAGTTAGTAGAACAAAAAAATAATAGTTTATATGGATTAAATAACTTTAAAAATAATTATTTGTTATTCATGCATCATTTTTATATATAATAATAAAAATATTTTTATGATAGTGAAAGGAAAGTTTTCAAAAAATAAAAGTAATACATTTTTAAATACAAAACATTCATTAAAAAATAGATAAATGTTGATACATACATTAGACATAAGATAACACAAAACCTTTCTGGGAGCCATAGCAGACTGATATGATTCCAAATTTTATCGAACCCATATGATTCCAAGAATCAAAACGCTTGCATCTATCTTTTATATTTGGCTATTTTTGTCATTTTCTATTTATACAGCGAAAACCAAATTTTTCTACTAAAAAAATAGTTTTCGAATTTCAGAATTTACGAATAACCATTTTTTTATAGGCCTATAGAAAGTAGTTCGGTCAACTTTATCACCAAGGAAAAATTCATCAAAATACCTGGCGAGTAAACCTGAGGTTCTCCTAGTTAGGTATTTTTTACTAACGAGGAGAACCTCAGGTTATGCTTTTGGGATTCTGATTTGATTGGTGATAGAGTTGATAGCCAAACTGAACGCATTAAAATATTATAGGCATATGAAAAGTGGTTCTGTATTAAATATATCGCCATGCAAAGTTTCATCAAAATCCCAGGCTAGTCAACTTGAGGTTTTCCTCGTTAGTTATTTCTTACTAACAAGGAGAACCTCAGGTTTGCTCTTCTGAAATTTTGATGATGATAGAGTTGATAGTCGATCCGAAAATCTTAAAATATTATAGGCCTATGAAAATTAGGAAATTAGTTTGGTATCAACCTTATCACCAGGCAAAAATTTATCAAAATTCCAGACGAGTAAACCTGAGATCTCCTTGTTAATTATTTTTTACTTACCTAAATATTATTTTCCATTTTACCTGGTACTAAAAATTTACTAATATAAACTACAAAATAAATAAACTTTTAATATACATCAGTTTATTTCCTATTTTTGAAAACATGGTATAACATATCAAATTGTATTTACAATTACAAATATTTTTTATACAGTTTAAATCATTTCTTTGGAAATTACACTAGAATTGACAATATTGTTTTTATACAGCACTCACATAGGCCATGTGCTTCTGAGTAATACATAGGTGAACGGTTATATTAATCTGTGCAATTTTTTATTTATTAATATAATTAATATATATTATTTATACAAGGTAATATTTACAAGCGATATATATTTTTAGAATTTTGATAATATTTTAAAAAACTGTCAAGTAAGAACTTGCGCGGGTTGGATATAACAATTGAAAAAATTAAATAAAACACGAGATAACACTTTTTATTGCAAAAGCTATTAAATATTTGTCATTAAATATAGTTTGTTAATTATTAATAAATTAGAAATAGAAGATGTAGTTTTCTAACGGTTCAGATTTTTTTCACTATTCGACTTAATATACAAATCAGTGGTTTCCAACCTCTTCGTACCGCGATCCCTTGTTCTTTGAAAAAATAATGCTGCCTTTGATTTTTAGAACAATCTAATATTAAAATAGTCAATTGATATAATTTATTGATCAAGTTACAAATTAATATAAAATATGTAAAAATACATATAAATATTAAGTATTTTATATCATTTTAACGCTTTTTGTTTATTATTCTTTTTATAATATTTTGCAAGAACCTTGCTCCCTTGAGGGGTCGCACCCCATAGATTGAAAACCAGAGTACGGAATTGTCTTAAAATATTTTTTATTACAAATTGCGGTATCCAATATTACAAGTTTATGCTCAACATTAAGAAATATGATAGGTTTTACTATTCAAAAGTTATAAATTTTTAAATCCAAGAATAATTTAACCCAAAATCTAGTTTTTAACCAATAAGTTCAGTATTCATATTAAAAATTAGAATTTCTGACCTAAACTTATAACAATAATCAAAACGTTACTAATTAATTATTAATAATTGAAATAAAAATTTTAGCCAAATTTATGAATAGCATTAGAGTACATTAGATAATATTTTAATTAATTCTTCAAAATATTAACTAATATGTTATAACAAATATATTTTTTATTATTTGGCAAAAAGCTGTGCGCATCGATTTTACATTGTGTATTTATTTCTGAGATTATTCCGTGCATTTATATTAATGATAGTTATGTGTGTTTCTGATCTATATGAAAATTTATTAAAAAGAATAATTTTAGAGCCAATATATACTAATTTAATGATAATATCTTGAAATTGGATTTTATAGTGTATGATTTTGTTGCATATTTAGCTGCGGATGATATATTTATCACAATTTTATTAGTGTTTTACACTTACATATTTACAATAATAGAAAGCGATTGAAAAATGATAATATATATATATATATATATATATATATATATATATTTAAAATTAATAGTTTTAATACATCTTCAAAAAACAATGTCCAAAAAGATCCACAAATTATAAGTCTGTATTTATTAAGATCAATTTCAAATAATTAGTTCTATTAAAGTGATACTCCTTTTTAGTAACAATCTTCTAAATATTTTTGGGAAAAAAACATTTGGCATTAACATGAAAATTAATGGTTTGTTGGTTTATAGGTAAATGAAACCATTACATTTTAGGCTTAGATACAAATCTTAGAAAATTTATGCTGAAATATACTTTAGAGGCATATTACATAGACTTTAAAGCATAATTTTGACAAGATAAACACTATTTATATATTAAATTTAAATATATTAGAAATTTACTAAATATATTACTTTTTACTATAATTATGTACATTATACTATTTAAAATTCTGCAGACATAATTAAATATGATCCACAAATAAAATATTATAAAATTAATTTTTTAATTTGGTTAATACATATTGCATATTAATAAATAAATTTAAGACTAGACTGTATTTAATGGAAAGTTTCCATTAAATATAGATGAAGAAATATATTTATAATTTAAAATTATAGATTCCATTTTGATTTCAAAATGTTGAAATACAATATTTTGTAAGTCGTGAGTAAAAAACTAAATAAAAATGTAAACTCTTTCTAGATCTTCAAGAAAATTTCACGATTTACAAAATATTTTAAATTTTTTGATAAAAAGGTTTAAAATGCGAGCTTAAAAAAATAACTCCTTTCAAGATTGCAAATTAATAAAATTTAAAAAAAAATTCAAATGCATAGTTTTCAAAATGAACATTTTTGATAAATTTGGTATATAAGGTCATACTATTTATGTAAATATATACATATTTTGATAAATTGTCAATTTGTGTGTTTTAGTGATAGTTTTGATTAGTTTACTATTATTTAGTTAGTAAAAAAGTGATACCATATAAATGACTATGTACATATTGTTTGAAAGATTTAAGCACATTTAGATAGTGAAATCGGTAAAATATTTTACATTGAAAATTATTATAAATAATTATTTATATTTCTCTGTATATATATATATATATATATATATATATATATATATATATATATATTCTGCTTTTAAGATACGTTCTATAACTCCAGTGGAACTTTATTTTACTTTAAAAATTGTTGATATAAAATAATGATAATTTTAATTAAATGTTCCATTGTATTTTTATGATTTTTTAGAATCATTTATAAGCTGAGACATATAAATAATTATTATATAATTTTTTTTTGCTATAGAACTATGTATCAAAAATGTTCCATGCGGTCTTCCCATGATAAGAAGCATTTTTAATTTAATTCCTTTTCATTTTAAAACCAATATCAGCGTTTAATTTATACGTTTGAATAGTTAATAACTACGCCTTTGGTTCGTTAACAATTTTTGATAAATATATTTACAATTTCTTGCAGATTGCAATATGACCAAGTCAACATCCTCTGCCCTCAGTGAATATTTTAAATTAAGCTACTTAACTAGTCAAATTTTACACTTTTCTTACAAATATTTTGTGTAGAACAAACAGCACATCGAAGCCGGATTAATAGAACTTTTCTGATTAAACTTTGTTTAAAAAATTTGATAACATGAATTGGAGGCAGTGCAGAGATTTTCAATTCCGAGCTTTTTGTTCGGATGAAATATGATGATATATTGGACTTAGGAAGATTATAGTACCTGAATGGAAGAAAAGACAAGAATATAGTAAATATAATAATTGTAGACGATATTTATATTCACTTGTGTAGTAGAAATCATAAAATATTACAGTTATACAAATGAATATTTAATTATTGCAGCAAAATGTTCAGAATTTTACTCATTTATCACAAGTAGATGTAAGATGAATAAGTGATTACTGAATGAATTTAACTTATTGTTTTCACCACATGTAGTTTTAATAGTAGAATATTATTCGTATATAATTTTCATAAAAATGTTTTTTTAGATTGGCCTCACAGTCTTAACTATCATTTAACCTTTCTAGATTTTCTTCACAAAAAATATCTTTTAAATTAACCTTTAGTAAAAGTGTTTTCCAATTTTAACTTAATTAATAGAGCTAGTGGTATTCATCATAATGCTTCATTCAACAATTGATTAATTATTTAATTATTCTTTTTTTATTTCATAAGTTTTTTGTATTATATTTAGTTGTTAAGGTAGTCGGTCTTTAGTAGGTATATAATAATGATTTATTTTACAAGACTTCAGTATAATGAATTATTATTGTTATAAAATATTATATAAATTAATTAATTATTTTATTAATTTTTTGTTTATTATTCAATTTCTTTACAATAAACCTATTAATTTTTTAGTAAATTTCAATCATTTTTATAAAAATTAGTGTTCACACATTTTTTCAAGTATTTTTGTTAATTTTTGTCAAATTGAGAAGTATTTTTACAATATAATTATTTTTTAAAATAATTTAGGTAATTTTATGATAGATTTTATAAGAATCTTTACATTATAATTTTATTTCCTTTTCAACAAATTGTTAATTACTTTTACAATCTAAGTATTTTGATTCACTAGTTTTTAAGGTATTTTTATGAAATGTTTAACAATTTTATAAGTTTTTTTAAATTATAAGTATTCAGTTGACAAACTAATAAGCATTTTAACAATAAGAATTTTGTTTAAACAATTGATATTATTTTTGAGTAAGATTATGTTACACAGATTTAATTAACAAAAATAATAATAATAATAATTCAGAAGTATTTTTGTAACATCAAGTATTTAGAATTATTTAGATTGTAGAGTTTTAGTAG